AATGTGATATCCTAGCACATGGTAAAGATAATGTACTACGAGCGTAAGGTGGAACCTTCTTCRCAAAGCCAGATGACAAGTTTTCCTCTCCAGTGAGAATCGGGCTGTAAGTTCTTAAGTTCTCTGCCTCTGCCATCAACATGGCTGAAGGAGAGGGTGGGGCTGGGGAGAATCCAGGAACCCTTCCACACAAGAGGTACTTTGAGRTTCCCATTTGGGAGGGTGCCAGATGATCCAGACCACTCTACCCAGGCTTTTGGCAAAACACCCCTAGCTCTCCTAAAGGCTAGWCTTCTTGCTTCCTCCACCCCACTTTCAGAGCCTCCTGAGCAGCTTACTTTCTTTTGTAAATCAATCATCAGAAAAAGGGGGGGGGGGAGAGCTACAATGAAACAAAAGCATTTAACTTTGACATGGGGGCTCAGTGCCTCTTGCTGTCGTTCTGAGCCCTAGGGGTCCAGGCTGAGGCAGGACTGGGTAGCCTTCTCTACTGATAGTGCATGTGTCTCAGGTTCTGGAGAGGGCACAAGAAAAACCTGTCCCTCATCAGGGCTTAGGCACACACAGACCTTCTGTTTGACACCTACAGGTCATTCTGGCGTGGACCAACCTTAGAAGGGCAGAGAATAAACAGGGGGTTGGGGCAGGCTGTTGCTTTGTGTCTCAGGTCTTAAGATTCCCATGGGAAGGTGGTGGATGTGAAGTGGCTAGTCCTGATGGCCCCTGCCACTCATACTTGTCACAGATACATCGGTCCTAAATTCAAGTGTCTTCAGAAAGTGAAGATGTAAACTACTCTTTGCAACATTAACTCCTAACATGTTACAAAAAAAAAAAAAAAAAAAGAAAAAGAAAGAAAGAAAATATAAAGAAAATAGCCCCTCACCCCTCCTCAGCCTATGTTGAGATGAAGTTCTCACCTACTCACCCCAAAGGTGCTTCCTCCTTCAGGGATATCTGAGAGGATCAGGGAGAGGATGGCAGCCCCTGGCCTGGGAGTAACTAGACGAGAACAGCCTTTTCCCACCTCCAAGGCTTCCTTGTGTCCCCAAACCCAGCAAGGGTCAAACACTGAGGTTTTTGTGGTGCTGGATACAATACAGGGCTGAGTGACCCAAAGGAAAAAAAGGGGGAAAGGGAGAGAGAAGGGGGTCAGGAGTCCAGTGTCTGGGACAATGTGGGGCAGGTACACCAGAATGGTTAGGGAGAGGCCTCAGATCCCATTGTCATAGCAGARACCAGACATTCATCCTTGGTTCAAGACGACTGGGTCACAGGAAGTGAGATGGGCTTCCCACATACTAAGCACTGGGATGACAGAGGTGAGGGGGCACACAAACTAAAAGCAATGAGGTACCCAAAGACAGAGGGCAAGYGAGCCCCTGTCAGCCTGGGATACTGTCTCCTATTCCCAACCTTTGGGCCAACAGAGAAACCTGTTGAAAAGGAGGGCCAAAGAAGTTTCAGTAATTGAGCAACAAGACTGCAAACTTCTCCGTGTTGCCCAGTTCCCATTGGGGGTGAACATGCAGYCATGCCCGTACTTGACACACATCCCAGTCTGTGCGGGTCAGTCGGTCACCCTCCCTAGCTTCTGASGRCAGTAGACTCCAGCCATTCCATTGTCATTCACAGCCCAACTCAAGCAGTCAGTGGCTGGAGAAGAGAAGTTAGGTATACTCTATGTCCACATATACCTTCCTGCCACAGGGCTTCACCAACTGGCAGGATTCCCCCCAGCCCCCAATTCCTCCTCATCCCTC